GAATGTCCTTGCAAGAATATAAAACAGGAAGAAAGTCCTCCAGTCTCTGACCAGGTATCTCAGAGGGTTCATTTGTTTAAAGATGCAGTAGGTAATTTCTATTAAAATATTTTTTGTCATATTTGCTGAAACTTTCATTACATCCTGACAGTAGTACATGAGACAGAAAACCTGTGAAAAAATCTGGTTCCTCTGGCTCCTTCTAGTGCTCCTAATGGCATTTGAATGAATCCACTGGGCCTGACCGAAAACAACCAATCAGAGCTGAGAGAGATAGTTGACTGTTGACTATCATTCCCAAGCTGTCAAATACAGACGCTTTGGGACTCCTGGGAATGAAGCTCAACAATCAACTATCTTCAAGCCTCCAACTCAAAGCATCTTCATATCTTTCTGAGCTCTGATTGGTTGTTTTAATCCAGGCCCGGTGGATTCTTGCAAGTACCACAATTACGAGCGCTAGAATGAGCCAGAGGAAGCTAATGTTTTATACAGATCATCTGTCTCATTTCACTGTCAGAACACAGTGAAAATTTCAGCTTTAATAGTTTTTGTTAATATCAGAATTAAGATTAGATTTAAATTAAAATAAAGGTTAAAGTACGTGAATAAAAAATAAGTCTTCAAATCAAACATGCTTGTTCTTGGTTCACATCTGTGTATTCACATTTGTGCTTCTTGTATCTCAACAGGTCTGTATTAGAGTTGTGTGGGTGTGTGTGTGTGTGTTAGTGAGAGACAGAGAGGGAGGGGGAGCCCTGTCCTGCTTCCCCACCACTGTTGGCGTACTAATCATTCTTCCTGCCTCGCTCTTTGTGATTGCCAGCCCATCCCCGCACTGCAGCTAAATTGAATCAATTAAAATCTCTCTTGTAGATGGTTGCTGTTGCTTCCACAAGATTAGGCTTTGATCAAGAAACGCACAAATAAATAAATAAGCCAGTGGGAAGGGAATAGAAAAAGAATGAACTCAATTAAAAAGTCAGCAGAGGGACGTGCCTGTCTGTGGGTGTCAGTGTGGATGCAAATGTACTATATTTGTTTGTGAGGGAGTGGAAGTGTGTTCAGCAGTGCAAGCTTCAGTGTGAGAGAGAGAGAGAGAGAGAGAGAGAGAGAGAGAGAGAGAGAGTGCTTATGTAGGCAGCCGGATGCTACTTGTGAACTGACGACTTCATGACAAAAAACATTTACAAACCTTTTTGCGTCCGCATTTGTGTGTGTGTGTGTGTGTGTGTGTGTGTGTGTGTGTCATCTATATAGCATCAGCATAACTTGTGCAAGACACAAAATTGACTCTTTACTACCCATCGATTGAATAATTATCAGCAGTTTTACTTTACATTAAGTACCATTCAGACGACTGTATGCCATTAGCCAGCTGTTATAAACATAACGTATACATTACGGTTACTGTAATCACAATATCATGTGCCATCATGCATAAGTAAATATTATGTACTAGTCATATTCAGTCATATCCTTGTGTAATGTGCAATACAAACATAAGACTGTTGATGCTATTTGGGTTTAACAAGTTTATGATATTGGCTTTTTATGAACTAATAGTTTACAGCCATGCTAGCAGCTGTGAGGCTGCAGTGCTTTGAGCTAAAAACCAATGCTTGCATATGCTTGCTAGTACAATGCTAACATGCTGATGTTCAGCAGGGGTAATGTTTACCATCTTAGCTTAGCATGTTAACATGCAGAAACCTTTGCTAATTAGCGCTGAACACAGAGTAGGCCTACAGCTGAGGCTTATGGGAATTCCATTATATTTGCAGTATTTGGTCATGAATCAAAGTGTTGGGGAAACTAAAATGAGCCAGATGATGGCACTATTAAAAACGTTATTACAGTTCATCCTGAGGGGAACATTTAACATAAAAGTCATGGCCATCCATCCAGTAGTTGTTGGTGGACCAAGCGACGGACATTGCCATCCTCAGTGCTAAGTACGAAAACTCTGAGGTGATTGATAGGATGCAGCTTGATTGTGTTCTTATTTTAGAATTACTCGATACGTCTGGTTGATCTGAACGGATTCAATGATACATTCTAAATGATAATGTATATTACTGTACAATGTCCAATAGATGGGTGTATGTGCCTTAACTGTAGATAAGCTTGAAGCTGACTCATCTTCAAGACAGACTTCAATTTCCCCTGTTTTGTCTGCTTTTTGGTAGCTTTTAACCTACTGTCAATAAGACTTTACAGGTTCTATTCACAGAACTTCACATTAAAGAGGTTAGTGTGTCAAAACAGTATGTGTTTTAGAAAAAAAAAAAAAAAACTGGCACTAGTGCTGTTGAAATTGGCCTTTATTTGTTTATGCTAAAGAATTATATGATACTGGTTTTCACCTTATCAGAAAAATGGACTAAAACGCACCGTACCTTTTCACAGGGCAATAATTTCATTATTCCTTTTTGCGGCCTATTACAGGAGTGTGTACCTCCTCAGAGGCGTTATTCCAGGTGTCTATACATGTGGCCTGAACGCATCCCTGTGGAACTGAACTGTCCTGTTGACTGACACCGGATAATGAGCACTCCATTTACTCAGGGAGCGGGACGATGCTGAGAATAAGAGCGTAAAAGAGGACGGGGGGGGTTAAATATGTGTGCGTAGGGGGTGCTGGGGGATCGTTCATGGGTGGGATTGGTGGGTGTGGGGGACTCCCTAGACGCCTGCAGCACGTAATGGAGCTTTTAGCATGGAAATCAGAGGGAGAGGTGGCAGTTGTGGGGAGGTGTTGGACATGAAATTGCTTTAAAAGACCAGAGCTCTCCTCTGAGTATACTTGAGGTGCCTTGTCTCGTCGGAACATTCATGCCTCGCTAGCTAGCACTAGATCTTTATGCAGCCGCATTGACAGGGAGAACCTGAGAGGTTTAATTGGACGGGGAAGGAGTGGTTCTGTTGTAAAGCAGGTTGGTGTACTGTGAGTATATGGACCCTTGTAAGGACTTCAGCATATGTAGCATATGTAGTACCTGTAGTATATTAGCTATCATAAAAGGCCATAGACATGTGCGTTGCTATGTTTCTGTTTTCTCCTGGATATTCCATCTTGTGTCTTATTTTTATAATTTTGGCCTTTGGTCCTATCGGTGATCTCAATTACTGTAGTGAGTATACAGTGTTGTCATAACCAATACAAATGTACTGCACCATTATGCACACGTGTACTTTTCACGTCTAAGCGAACGAAAACGTGACACTGACGAAATCCTCTGGTGGATCAGCGGGTCTATTACACGCTGTGGCTCAGGAGGTAGAGCGGGTCGTCCACTAATTAGAATCAGTCAAAGTGTCCTTGAGCACGATACTGAACCCCAAATTGCTCCTGATGCTGTGCCATCCATGTGTGAATGAATTACTTTCTGTTTGTGATGGCCTCTGCCATGCATGTGTGTGAATGTGGCACCTAGTGTAGAGCACTTTGAGTGGTTGGAAGACTAGAAAGGCGCTACATAAGTAGAGTCCATTTACCATTTACCAGTTCACAATGCGGTAGATGTGTGTTGCACTTATTAAAATGTTGAGGAATCAGTTATTATGAGGTCAAAACTGAGTTTTAGTTGTATGGTGTGCATAAGGGTCTATGTGGGGTGATAAAGTACATCAAGAAGCATTTTTTTTTCTATAAGTATATTCATGAGGCATTAGGGGTAGACTGTAATTATGAATGGCTTTTTGATAAATTGAAAGATGAGATAGTGAGATGCAGAGTTAGGAAAATTAAATCTGGATCTATTGAAGAATCTTTACAATTTTGCCTTATTTTTGGCCATTAAAACAAAAAGGGAACATCTCATATGTTTGGGCCGACTGAAGGGATTTTGAAAGTTATTAATTTTCTGCAGTGCATTCTTCCAACTGCTTTATTTCTTTACTCTGAGGAAACAAATGCATGTTCCTCTGCAAAAAATCCTGTTAGAATAAAGAGCTGTTTTCGCGACACATGACTCTTTGTCATCATCACCATCACCATCATCATCATCATCATCATCATCACCCTACTGTAAGCTCTATTTGGGGCTGGATCATACGTCTCTCTCCAAAATGAGTCTGTCTGTGTTATATTTAGCGTATCCACACTTTAAGTGGCTCTACAGGGTAATAACTCTTGTTTTATTGCAGCAAATTATTAAACAGCCAGGCTTGTTGGTTTTTCCTTGTACAACGGAGAAATGTGCCTCGTTATCTGCTGGCAGTTGTGCTCAGATGGTCCAAAAGTAGATTTTTGTTTATTTTATTTTAATCAAGGAGATCAAAAAGAAAATAAGTGGGGAAAAAATAATAGTTGTGTCCCCGGTGGTCTTTTCATTTTATTTTTTTCATTTTTAGGGATAATTAACAGCAAGCTTATGACTGTAAAATTTTTCTTTTTTCATATAATAAAAATAAAAGTCACACACTGTACTCTGCTCTAAGATCTGTTTGCTGATTGTCCTTTATCAGTTGAGCTTGTGATGAAAATGTGGGGGCAAAATCTACTACTGAGTACTTCCATAGCAGCAGAATTACAGAGAGAGCTTCTTTATGTCACAAGTACATACGTTAACTCCCCTCCTCTGCCTTGTCTTCCTGTCATCTCTTCAGCTCTCACAAAGGTTAAATTGGACTAACTGATCATTTGTGTAATGTATTTATAGTTTGAAGGGTGTAATAGCTCTTCTTTTATAACTTACTTGTACTATTTGCTTTGAACTTTACATTTACATTTCAAACATTCATTCCCAATTCCTCAAAGCAACAATTTGTTCATTGGAGCAGTTTTTGGTTACACCATTGCATTTTCTCCTGCTTTCAGTGATGAAAACTCATTGAAAAAAAAGGATTTTTAAAAAAGGGGGAACTCTTGCTGTTAAGTCATTTTTTATTCATAATTTTTTGTCATTTGTAATATTATCGCTCCTGAACCTGATGGCTAATAATAACAAGACGGAGAATAAAACTGAGTCTCCTCTGTTCTTTGTCCTATCGTGCAGGGTTCCTGAGTACAGGTGACCAGGCAGCCAAAGGGAATTACGGTTTGCTGGACCAGATCCAGGCTCTGCGTTGGACCAGTGAGAACATTGCAGCCTTCGGCGGCGACCCGTTACGTATCACTGTGTTCGGCTCAGGCGCCGGAGCTTCCTGTGTCAACCTGCTCACACTGTCTCACTACTCGGAGGGCAACCGCTGGAGCAACTCCACCAAAGGTAAAAATCAGCAGGGAACTCACTGTGGGATCTTCATCTACATTTAAGAGTGTATGCGGTACTGTGTGTGCACCTCAGTGGTGTGTAAGGCCACGTGAGTGCTTGGTGCTTGTTTCGGCTACATGTGTTAACATATGATTGACTGAGTGTCTTGAATGGCGCCTTTTGTTCTCATGTAGGAGCGCCTAAATTAACTCTAACTACAACATTGAGCTGCGATAATGAGACTCTGCCTGACTTTAAATACTGTTGTTTTTTACTTGGCCAAACAAACTGACTAATTAGAAAGCGTTTGGATCAGTTAAAATATTTTTTAAGGCAGGTAGACCCACGCTGTACATACATAATGTAAATGTAAAGCACTGGCCTATAGGCGACTTTCTCAGTCGGCTGTTGTTGTTTTTCACAAAGTATAGCAGTATAAACATTACAATGTGATTTGAGTTATCATCCTAACATGTGTTTGTCTGACAGCATTGTAGGATGAGGTCAGATGTATTGGAAGCAATAAAAAGGGTGGCGTCTAAATGTAGTTTTTTGAAGGTCCAGTGTGTAACATTTAGGAGAATCTATTGGCAGAAATGGAATAGCATATTCATAGGTATTTTTTCATTGGTGTATAATCACCTGAAAAAAAGTCCACTAGGGGTGTAACAATATTGATCTGGATCAATAAATTGATATCAATGTTCAACGATCCAATATATTCATACAAAATGTTTTTTTTGTGGCAATAAAGACAAGGCACTTGCCGTATGCAAACAATGCCAGTCTCAGATAAAATAAATGTCTGAAAGAAAATTTTCAAATTCTATTTTAGTGAGTCAATATATATGTAACTGATTGGGTATATATGATATCGTCTCCCATCGATCACAGGCCCCTGAATGTAATCAAAAACATATTGTGGTAGACTTTGTGATATCGGCAAATTTCATCTCATTGTCCAAAGAATTATTGTATAATGATGAAACAGGTGATTTTACGCCCATAGAGTATACCATGTTGAAAAACCAGCAGCCAAGCACAGGCAAACCAAACACTGGCTCGAGATAGGGTTTTTTGTGTTGTTGTTTTTTGCAAGTTTTGAAGCCACCGTACTGTCTCCTACACACTTGGAACAGAAGGTTGAGGCAGGGCTGTTGCTATCAGCAACAACATCCTCCACCCTGGACCTTTCAAATTTTATATTTAAAAGTCATAAAGAAAAATAGTTGGAAACGGAATTGCAAAAACATGAACTGCTTTCACTGCATTTCATCTGATCAGAGCAAAAGGGGAAAAAATAAATGCTAGCAATTATCAATGCTGTTTCATGTACAGACTCAGCTACCACATTCAGTAAAGGGATGAAAGAGATTTTAAATGTTTGTGTGATGGAACACAGAAATCTTCTGTGGACTGCTCTGACTGAGGTCATTTAAAGCATAAGGTTGGTGCTATTCTTTATACTTCAACTAATAGTATGAAAATACCAACACAAACAATGTGTTTAACCTTCTTTCTGAACTCTCTGGCTTCCCTAACCTGTCTGTGGCAGCTGTCTAGGCCCACAAGCCCATTGGTTCATTCGGAAAACTTTTTTTTGTTTAGTTTCTGAAGAATGTCTCAGTAATTTTCTAAAACAGCTTGGCACTGTAATTGTTAGCAAACGTCACTCGAACTGGGGGAAATAGTGCATTTTTTAGGGACTATTTTCAGTCATGGATTAAATCTAGTGCTTGTATTTCCTTAAATATGGCTTTCAAAATCTGATCAACTAGAAGTTGTTGGCATGAAGCTTCATGAAGGGTACAATATCATATTTTAGAGGGACAAAGTTTTAATCTATTTAGTTTTTCTAATAATTGTAATTTTTTACATTGATTTGATAAGGTATGCAAGCAGGTTTGACAACAGGATGAACAAGCTTTAGTATTTTTTACCTTTTTTGTAGGCTGAAAATGTCAGCAAACTTGTGAACTTGAAGCATTCCACTTATGAGACTGTGAATACCACAAGAGAGGGTCGTTCAATAGGAATCTTCTCATGAACACAGTAAACACAAACCCATTTGAAAGCATCACCCCAAGTATGTGTATACTTTTTACGTTATAATGAGTTCCAGAATCATAATTTGCTTCTTTTTCTCCTCCTTGCACCTGTGCTGTTTTTGTCTCCAGGCTTGTTCCAGAGGGCCATCGCCCAGAGTGGCACAGCTCTGTCCAGCTGGGCCGTCAGTTTTCAGCCAGCCAAATACGCCCGGATGCTGGCCCGTAAGGTGGGCTGTAACCTGGAGGACACAGTAGAGCTTGTTGTGTGCCTTCAGAGGAAACATTACAAGGAGCTGGTGGATCAAGACATCCAGCCAGCACGCTACCACATCGCCTTCGGGCCTGTTATTGATGGAGATGTTATACCTGATGACCCTCAGATACTCATGGAGCAAGGTATACATTCACTTTGATTAACAGCCATCAATTTCCAACAATGTTCTTGCCTTGAATTTACTTTTTTTAACAACCATCTGCACCATCGTTTTCCAGGTGAGTTCCTCAACTATGATATTATGCTGGGAGTTAACCAGGGTGAGGGCCTTAAGTTCGTGGAGCTCATCGTGGACAATGAAAACGGCGTTCAGGCTAACGACTTTGACTACGCCGTGTCCAGTTTCGTGGATGATCTCTACGGCTACCCAGAGGGTAAAGACATCCTCAGAGAGACCATCAAGTTCATGTACACAGACTGGGCCGACCGGCACAACCCAGAGACCCGCCGGAAGACACTGCTGGCCCTTTTCACCGATCACCAGTGGGTGGCACCAGCTGTCGCCACAGCTGACCTGCACTCAAGCTTTGGGTCACCGACATACTTCTATGCCTTCTACCACCACTGTCAGACGGAACAGGTGGGTGTCTGGCTAAAGTTACAAAATACTACTGGCTTGTTCTCCCTGGGTAAAGTTTTATATGTGAAGGTGTGACAGGTAATTATAGCATTTAATATCAGTTACGTCTACCGACTCTGAAGATGCTTTCAAGTATTCTGGTTTCAGATCTCTGAATCACCACCCTGATTTGGAATAGTCAAATATCACAAAAAGAAACTGACAACCTAATGAGGCTGAATGAATGAAGTGAAAGAGCCTATAGTTTGGTGCGTCTGTATTTGTGACTGCTCAATCTGTGCACTGATCTTAGGACTTACCAGGAACTAATTTTCCTCAATTAATTTCTAAAGTTGAGCATGAAGTCAAAACATTTTCAACTTTGCCTTAGTTTGTACCATTTATAGCAAACTAGGATGTTTTTTTGCATCTATGCACATCTTTCCATTGACTTTTGCATGCAATTGCACCGTCTCTGAAATTAACGTCTTTAGCTCGAACACAACTTGAGGCTTTCATTTTTTTTTTAATTGAACAAAACGCAATTGCTTTGTGACATGGTGGCAGATTGCCTTAAAGTACAAAGAGACAGTACTTCATTGTGGCACAAAACAAAGTCTGATTTTATTCCAAATACATGACTGTGACTACTCACCTAGTTTTACCCATAACTACTATCTGCATATTTTGTTGCTTATACACAACCACTCTCTCAAATTATCCAGTCCCAAAAGAAAGTGAGGAGTGGTGATTAAATCCCCACATTTCCTTTTCAGTGCGTGAGATGTACATCAACATTTTAGTTTAAAATTCAGCTCAAATACAGCCTGTTCCAACCCTTTATTTCTCATCCTGTCTTCCTCTGTAATACACCAAATAATGGACCAGAAATGGTAGGCAAAATAATATTAAAAACTTATCCAATTTTCCCTTTTCTCTCTCAAAAAATGGTGTAGTTTCCCAGCTTCTTCTTCTGATCTGTCTGTGTGTGTTGTAATATCCATTGTGTGTCAGCAGTAAAAATAATTCCTTTCAGTGTCCTGTATCTGTCACATAAATGTAATAACACTAATCTGATTTGATTCATCTGCCGCTCATTAGGTACCACCGTGGGCAGACGCAGCACACGGTGATGAGATCCCATATGTGTTTGGCCTGCCGATGATAGGACCAACAGAGCTGTTTCCCTGCAACTTCTCCAAGAACGATGTGATGCTCAGTGCTGTGGTCATGACCTACTGGACAAACTTTGCCAAGACAGGGTATGATGACACAACAAACATGCAACTCACTTTCTGTATGTTATCCCCATGGACTGGGACAGTGCCATCCTAACTCTGACAGAGCCACTGAGTTAAAATGTACTGTAAGCTAGTTTGAAAGTTTGTGCACCAACTATGACAATTACAACTATAGTAATAGTAGCAGATTTTGGTGGACTTTTTAAATATACTAGATTTTGACATCTAAATTTCAGGAGGCTCTGGCTTGAAAGTGGTTTGAGATAGAGACAAAGTGTAAATGAGATAAATATTGAGAATGACCTAGAGTTTATCTAGGGAGTAAATTTCCCCATCTAATTTGCATATTATGACGTCATATGGCGGCGGCCATATTGGATTATGTAATTTCCATGAAATACCTGATATTTTGAAAGAGAGTTGAACTTATTTCACCAGATTCAACCCCTTCCATCCATTTGCTATGTTGTCCACATATCAAATGAACAGGGGAAAGTAAATTGTAAGCCAACAGTCGTAAACTAGAACTATTACTACACCACAAAACTATTTTTATGATTTTTTTTCCGGTTTCTCACCCAACAGTTTGGATGGAACTTCTTTGAACATTTTGTATTGAAGCATGACGTATTTCTGAGCTAAGGTCTAAGTATGGGATGTCTGCCAACTAGTGGAGGGGAGTATGAATGAGATATAACACTCTATTCGGATTTGATTCAAGTAAGTTGGTTATAGTCAGTTTTCCCCAGTAAGGTGATTTCCTAAATGTCATACAAAACCTGGGGTCTGTATTGAGGGTAAGATATTCGAGAAACCTGGTTCCTGTAACCAGGGTATTGTATTCAAGAGACGTGGTTTCTGTAATCAGGGTGTGGTATTGGAGAAACCTGAGGTAGAATTCTCCTGGGGAACACCAATTTATTGGCTATGTATAGGGCTACATAAAGGGCAAATAGGGTCTCTAATCAGCTATATATCGGGTACACGCAAGTGTAAAAAAAACTTCAATAATCAGCGGAGGAGGTGGATAACAGAAGAGATAATTACACAGAGCGATGCATCCCTATATTTTAAATGATTCCATCCAACGTCTGATTGAACCCAACAAAAGTATCCTCTTGATGTAGACTAATTGTCAAATTCACACACCATCATGCTCCTCTCCTTCCTACACTGTTGGTCTGCTCCGACACAGACACACACCAAAAAACAAAAATCAGGACAGACACAGCACCTTCTTTCACTACTACAGTTAAAATAAGAAAGCCATGGTTCCAAAACAAGGTCAGAGGAGTTAGAGGAGTCTGATTACTGAACTGCTGCATGAGCTCTACCCGGCTGTAATTCACCATGAGTCTTCCTATCTTTACTGAAACAAGGTAATGGGCACTGAGATTACCTGGGTAACCTGATTACTTAATTACATGTAAATTAATTGAATGAACTCTAAGAGTTGCGCCACAGAAAAGCAGGAAATGTGGAAAATGTGTTCTATAAATTGCACCACAAATGAGACTTGGACCTGTACAGCACCTTTCTAGTCTTCTGACCACGCAAAGCACTTTTACACCACGTGCCACATTCACCCTTCCACACACATTCACTCAGTGATGGCCATCAAACAGAAACTAGCATTCATACACACACCGATGCATCGGGAGCAATTTGGGGTTCAGTATCTTGCTCAAGGATACTTCGTCATGTGGCACCAGGAGCCGGGGATCGAACCCACAACCTTCCGATTAAGGAACGACCCGCTCTGCCTCTGAGCCACAGCCGCCCTTGGTGTGTGTGATTCTGATTTAAAAGTATTCCCTAAATCATCTGCGTTGTGATTGTCTATGCAACCTGAAGCATGTTCATATATATAACGTAGCTCTATAAAAGGTCAGCCAAAGGGTTATTTAAGCAGTTTTTGTGGGCATGTGTTGCAGTCAGTCTTACAGCACTTGATCAACATGCAATTGCCATTACAAGACCATGAACTAATTGATCATTTAATTGTAATTTTGTTTCCTCAATATTAACCTACATTTGATGAGCAGGAGTAGTGAATTGTGCTATCATGTTTTATGGACTGTGCAGTGTAATTGGTATTCTATGTAGATACCCTCAACATATCTTCAAATACATTCTTAATTAATGGCCGTAGCCTGAAGAGTGACATCTCGCTGGGACAAAATTAAAATCCACCCTCCTCCCACCCCTTTCTGTGTCACGTTGCCTTTCAGCATATAGTCATGGCGGTAATTGTTTTTCGAGAGCGTAATGGGGGGACATTGGCTTTTTCTGTGCACTGCCCAGTAGCCCTGGGGGAACAGAAAGGCACTAATGATCTACATATATAACCCCAAATTGACGTGGAATGCCGGGTACCTGGGAGATTTATGCCACCAATTTGAATGGTTAAGCGTGTTCTTGATGAGGGTCTGGCTGGCTCCATATGCTGCTCTCAGACAATGGGGCGCTCAGTGGGTCTGAATGGGCTTCCATAGCTCACATAGCTGGCTCTGCTCAGATTAAGTATAAGTGGGTCTATCTAGCACAGGATCCAATGCAAAATGTGCTCTGTGAGCTTCTCTGTATATAAGAGGGGACTTCATATGGGGTTGCTGAACTGCATTTACAGTGTTATTCATTCTTGTGTTATTGTGGCTTCATTTTAATGTTTATCAAAAGTAGATTGTACATAAAATAGTAGCCATTTTGTAGCTTAGTTTATAGCACCTACTGAAGCATATGTTTTATGGAAATTATCAGCATGGTTGAAGTGCCTCTTTACCCAAACATATTCCTTGGCTGGAAGCTTCTTTTTATGTATGAATTATATATAAATATGTTCGCTCCCACTGAGACATCCATAATTTAAAAACTGTGTCATGCAAATCTTCTTTAGCATTTGAATAAAACTTAAAATTGGGGAAACTTCTCAGGTTATTAGCTTTCTTAAGACCTTTTCATTCATTCAGAATCTTTAGAACACCAATCATCTGTGAGCAATAATACCCCTTTTGACCTTTTTTTGATTTTATCAGGTGTGATATCTCAGAAACTGTTGATTAATATTTGATGAAACCTGCAGGCTGCATCTCACCACTGCATTCCAGTATTTTCATAATTACACTGATTAGCCTGAGGGAGATGCTACACTTAGGTCAACATTAAAAATTTAATAAACAGAGTCGTGTCTCGAAAGGTCCACTTCTCCTTCATTTTAGCTTTAGTTCTTCATGTCCCCTAAAGTAAACAACCACAAGGTGACATAACTATTACTGATTGGCCTGAAGAGGACTGTGTCATGCATGGGAGACAAAGTGTCTACTGTTGCATTGTTTCAAATATGCTTGTGTAACTGTTCTGCCATAAATCGTCAACAGATCTCACCTCTGTGAATTATTTTATTGAAAACTCTTTCCTCCTATACTCTTTTTGTCAGGGACCCAAACCAACCTGTCCCCCAGGACACCAAATTCATCCACACCAAGCCCAACCGCTTTGAAGAAGTGGCATGGACACGCTACAACCAGAAGGACCAGCTGTACCTGCACATTGGCTTGAAGCCCAGGGTCAAAGAGCACTACCGTGCTAACAAGGTACAGTTAAATATTACTGAATGCATCTTGTCTGTTTAACACTTTCAGTACTTATTACTGATGATAGCCATTAGTATCACGAAGCTGACTTACCTTCAATTGCGATAGATCACGGTGGTAACCTATGCTGCACAACTTAAAAAAAAAAAAAATACATTGAGACATATTTGTTTTTTACTTTGATCTAACTGTAGTCTTTTGAAAAACATCTAATTATCTAAAAGTCAATTATATTAGGTTATTATTATTATCAGGTAGTCATGCTTCTGAAGATGAATTTTTTCTTAGCAGTTTTTCATACGTCCGTAGTTTTCTTCTCTAGGTTTTATGATCTAAGTTGCCAAAATGACTACATTCTCCTCCTAATGTAATGCCATGCTGACTTTGGTATGCTCGTCTCAAGGCAGCTTTCAGTATCAGTATCCCTTAATTTTCTCTGCCACCTCATATTTTCTCTCCTCTCCTCAGGTCAACTTGTGGTTGGAGCTGGTTCCTCATCTGCACAGCCTCAATGAGGTCACCCAGCTCATCCCCACCACCACCAAGGTCGGTACTAAATCATCTATATCTCACCCTCCTTCTAAAAATTAACTACCTGAGGCGCTCCCTCCACAGCAAAGGTTTTGGAATAGACCCAAGCAACTTAAAAAACTATGATAATGCAATATTCAGATTGTTTGTTGACCCGACTCCTGTCTAATCCTGCCCTCAAGTGCCTCTTGTGAGCTCCTACTAGACATGATGTGGCATGTTAAAGTGCTACAAGAATGGAAGCTGCTTTTAAGTCACACAGAGGTGTTTACTATGAGTTATCAGAGGGATTCTATACTTTTTAATACCATAAACAGCAGCTCAGGTGTTATCAGTTAATACAAATGTAGTTTTAAGTTCAGTTGAGTTATAGGCTGCTCAGTCTATTGATACTGTTTGTGTAGTGATTGCTAAAAAAAAACAAAACATACATGAATCATTTTTCATAACTGAAAGCAGAATAAATGATTCTCTTCCCTAAGCAGTATAAGATGGGCAAGAGAAGAGACAGCACACTATAGACGGTATTACTTTTAAACCACTTTTAGGAGCGACTCTGTATTATCAAGTGATGCAAGTTATTACCATGATTTAAGAACTAGTGGATAATAATTTAAGAAGATACTCTGTAATCTGCAGGGATTTACATTAGTTTTACACACTATCTATGACCTGGTTTATGAGTAGATATTTGTGCAGTTATTAAATTCAGAATCTGAGGATTTGATAATGAGAAGTTGTGTGCATCCTCTTTTTTAATCTGGGCTGGCACAGTGTTGCAGTGTTTGTGGCCTCTGCGTTGTCTCCATGTTCTTTCCGTTGTTTTACTTCTGGTGCCCTGGTTTCATTCCCGCAGTCCAAAGACTAGAGTTAGGTTGACTGGTGGCACTAAATTGCCTGTTGGTGTTAATGTGAGTGTGAATGGTGGTCTGTCTTTATGTGTCAGCCCTGATTGACTGGTGAACTGTACAGGGTGTACCCCACCTCTCGCCCAATGTCAGTTAGGATTGTCTCCACACCCACCCCGGTGACCCTTTAGAATAAGCAGGTATCATTGATGGATTGATGGATGTTTTGAACTCTGATTTGATTAAAGAATAATATGAATATAATCTAATGTATTGTCCTCACCAGAGGAACAACAGCTCAAATACTAGAAGGAATAGTTCAACAATTTGGGAAATACACTTCTTTGCCAAGAGTTAGATGCAGAGATGGATACCTCTCTCATCTGTGTGCATTAATAGGGCTAGAGCAAGGAGATTATTAGGTTTGCATTGCAGACTTAGAGCTGAGGGAAACAGTCTAGTACTGTCCAGTTCATAAGGTCCAAAACCAAAAAACAAACTGCCAAAAACAATGGCAAGTTGTTGTTTGATAGGAACTTACTTTCTAAGTTTGGACAGAGCAAAGCTAGCTGTTTCCTCCTGCTTCAAATCTTTATGCCAAACTCAACTAGCCACTTCCTTGCTGTAGCTCCATACCTAATGCAATGCACACTCATAAAACACACAATTTTATTTTGAAAGAGGGCAAAAAATATCTAATATCCAATACAGGTTGGAAAGGTTGGCTGTAGGTTTAAAGGCCAAAGCTTGGCTTTCTATTTGGATGCCCTGGGCCTTTATTTTCCAAATAAATCTGATTAAAAGGTTCAGATTGCGTTAGCACAAGGCAGATTGAAGTTTCTCAGACTATACATACTTGAATATTAGCCTGGCAACCAGATGAGTTGGTGATGTTTCATTTGCTCTGGCAGATACATCATCCTTCCATTCAAAGGATTTCACCAGCCTTGGATACAGCCCATATAAAGCCAATGTAATATGATTGGTTGTAGGTCTATCCAATTGCATCTAGTCTGCAGATTCATCCTGGGCAACACACAAGCTACAAAGATCAGATAAACCTGTCAAACTAGGCAGTTCTGATTCTGTTCAAGTATTCACAAAAAAACATTTTTGTTCACTGTGTATCTGTAAGTTGAGAAAGATTGTGAGCAACCCGCCAATTTTTTCCTGCTAGAAAATAGACGTAGAAATTTCTAAATCCAATTGCGGCCCTTGATTGATTGGAGATCGCAATGAACTGAGGGGTTACAGACTAATTTGCATGTGGCAATGCTAATCTACTTCAATATTGTATAGACTCTTCATATCACATATATACTGACTATTGTTCTTTCTGTCTTCAGATTCCTCCACCTGAGGCTACCAACCGCACCCCGAAGACCAAAGTTCTGGTGACCAAGCGCCCTAACCCAACTCCATTCCCCACCGAGACCCAGGACAGCCACAACCAACCGCACCTGGTGGACCAGCGTGACTACTCCACTGAGCTATCTGTGACAATCGCCGTAGGAGCCTCCCTGCTCTTCCTCAACATTCTGGCATTTGCCGCACTGTATTACAAGAAGGACAAGCGCCGGCATGATGTCCACAGGCGCTGCAGCCCCCAGCGAAGTGCCGCCAACGACCTGGCTCACACTCAGGAGGAGGAGATCATGTCCCTGCAGATGAAGCAACACTCAGACCTGGACCGGGACTGCAGGGGGGTTGGTGACTCCATGCACCCGCATGACATGGTGCTGAGGACTGCCTGCCCGCCGGACTATACTCTGGCCATGAGGCGCTCGCCGGACGACATCCCACTCATGACGCCAAACACCATAACCATGATCCCGAGCACCATGGGGGGGCTCACTTCGCTCCACTCTTTCAACACCTTCCCCAGCAGCGGGCAGAATAACACCCTGCCCCACCCACACCCACATTCACACTCCACCACCCGGGTATAGCCTTGTGTATGCACCCAGCAGGCAGGACTCTGATGGCTGAGGCAAAATCTAACGCCGCTGCTGCAGCAGAGACTTAAGGCCGTCATGCTGACAAATGCAGATATGTCAGGAGCTGAAACGCCAGCCTGGAGTTGCCAGACACCCATGGAATTACACTGGGATTGTACGACAGCCTGTTAATACCTGAGGGAATATAGTCAAGGGATTTCTGGGGGTTCGGACCAGAGGATAAAAAAAAAAAAAAGAATAATTATGTTTTTGTAGAAAAATCAAAAGATAAGAAGAAAAAAAGTACAAATAAGGAGTTGAAGAAAAACAACCTTACAAGCTTAAACAGGAGGAGGATGTTTTTTTATTCTTATTTTTGTTCTGATATTGCAGCAAAACAAAGTACAGTAAACTACTTTTTCTTTCTAGCGACAGATATGGCCTTCGGGATCTTTTGACAAATGACTGCTTGACAGTATTATCTGGAAGCAGAACAGAGCATCAGACACGCCTCGGAGGTGAGAAGAGGGGAGCACTTTGTAAAAGACAGAAAACATATTGTTTTCCTTTGGCATCGCACTGCAGATTACTCTGTTTGTGGGGCACAGAGTAGATGCAGAGCAAACCAATTTAGGCATGTGTTAACTTCATAAATGGAGGCTATGTAAGATAAAGCAAAAAACAATTGTTGAGTAGGGCAAAGGAAGGACTCAAAACTTCAAGGATAAAAGAAACCCTGTATGCACAATGGAACCATTTTGAGGGGAAAAAAATGTCTACAGATACTTTTCATCCATTTATTTTTGAGGATTGGGAACAATTTTATTGTATAGAACCTATTTACATATCTAGATCTGTACACTAAGCACCAAGGCTGTTTAAGCCCTCTTCTCGTGGGGGGCGTCTATACTGCAAACCTGCCAGCAGGACTGAACCAGTGGGAAGTGGGGATCCACCTACTGGCTTTCTGGCAGTTCCAACTTCAACACAGAGAGCTGGGGGACAAAGGATAATTGGATATTTTAGCACGATGCGCATGACAATTTATCTGCTTGATGGCTGCTCTGCTGATTATGTCATTATTAAGAATAATTTTCACCCTCTCCCTTGCATTGGAGCAATTTCAGACGGATTTCCTGATTGGATTACAGGAAAATACACTCCCTCGCAGGACCATGGGAAATGCAGTTCCAGGTTGTGGATGTTGTGGGCTCGAGTTGGGCACAGAAAGGGGAGGGGCCGGGGATATGGTAAAACTTTCTTGCATAACATAATATAGCTTGAGTGGAGCTGGGCATATAAGGACTAGTTTTGTACTCTGTGTGTTGGTACTACTTTTTGATAGTGGTTAAATCACATTACACTGTATCAATCAAACTCATCGTACCTTCAGTTGAGATCAGTGTTCTTTGCTATTCTACCTATTGGACCACTTTACCGTATAGAAGTAATTACCTGCACTGTTTATTCCATTGCCCATTTTTCTTTTTGTTAACAGGAAAGTGTGTTGATTGAGTGTCACAGTGGATGCCCATTGTTATGAAAAAAATGGAAGGAGAAAGTATTGAATCTCTGGGCTATGTAGCTTTTCTTTTCTGTTATCCAGCCAGGTTCTGCAGAGCTGTTTAAACATGAACATGACTAATACAAGTCAAAGGCCAAGCACAGACAGATCACATTGAGTGGAACTCTCTGGAAATGCACAGCAGGTGGATGGGAGGAAGAGCTAGGGTCAGGGTAGGTCAATTCCCATGATGCACTCTTTATTTAGTTTTCATCATTGTTGGAGGCACATTGTGTTATGGGAAAGAAGAAGAAGACAGGCCTCCCTTAACAGCTGAGACCCACAGTCAACCCTCTTTACCTCTAACTTTAAAGAGCTACTACCTTTCTTCTTTTGGCCCCACTCTTTTTCTACTAAAGATCCTCTACTGTTTTATCTTTTATACTGAGCTGACAGGTTGGACTGTTTAGCAAAACGGTTTCCCCTCACGTCCACACCTCCTTCAGTTTACCGTCTCTTGTAAGGCTGTCTGCCATCGCTAACATCTTTAGGTCAGCGAAGCCTCGGTAGCTAACATCGTTAGCCACCAGAGTAGGAGTGTGTCATACAGCAAAGCAGACTGCAGTCGGATCCAGTCGCTTAAGAGTCATTGCTGGGGTAAAGTGGTGAGCATCAAAACAGACAGAGAGAGGAATACCCTGGATGGCGAGCCTATTGTGCTCAGATATAAGATCTGTATTCTGGCGCAGGGATGCCACTTGGTAAGCAGCAATGCTTGTCTCCCTGTTTTCCCTTCACTAAAGTGTATATGTGTAGGCCTCTGTTGTGAGAATACATCCTGCCCCTTTTGGCTGGCTCACAGGCACTGTGCAGTCATTCAAAGTAATGAGTGCAGACTACTGTTACCCCGTATAACACTGCAGCAGACAAGCTGGATGAGGGGATGAAATCTAGTCTGTCATAGGGAGTGTTGCTTTTTGGGATAAGATTAAAATTGAATAAACTAATTACATCTGTTGGCTCCAGATTGTTTCTCTGGATGAAATGAACCAGCAGGGCTTGATCTGGGATTTAAACACAAAAAGAAGATTCTGAGGCTATTATCACACATCATCCTCATGGGCCAGGGACTTTTTTTAATGCCCCTTTTCTATAAAAACAAGCCAACAACATAAAAAAGTGTGCATTTCAGAATCTGGTGACAATTTGTCCAGTAGGTTCTGTTGGCAATGCGTCGACAGGCCACTCACTAGCTTTCTAGCTTGAGCACTCACCTCGCCCTTTTACTGATTGCCAACGCACATAAACACACATGCAAATGAAAACACATGTGTGCAAACACCCTCACACAGAACCATGTGCTAAGTAATTAGGCCTGGGCTTTCCGAGTGTTTTGCTCTCTACTCAAGATATTGTATATAGACTAACACCCTGATTGCCCGCACTTGGACTCAAGATTTATATGTCCCATATAAAAAAACTAGATGACCTTGTTTTTGTAACCCAAGCCAATGGCTGAAATACTTTTCACAAGATGTGGAGGTGGACCTTGGAAGAAAATGAAATGCTGATGTTGGCTGGGTAGCCTACTGTCAGTGCCGCAAGACAATATAATGACCAAGAAATTCTTAATACATAGATCTTTCTATGCTGGGATCAGACTAGATTTCACGATGTGAAAAATTATCCTGTCCAAATTAAAAGCAATTCACAATATTATCCTGATAATCATCAATATGCTTCAAATCTTAAAATGGCCTACATTGAGTTAATAAACAATTTTATTGCATCACAGATGGGCACCTCATCTCAATGTCATTCTTTAGTTCAGAATCCAAGGCTCCACCTTGTAGCAATTCCAAATAATCAGGAATGCAAATTCGAACTGTATGGTAGCGAAATAGACAGCTTTTTTAAGTCACAAACATGAGGATATTCAATAATTTCCCGATAATCGAAATTCACCACGATTGTTTATCATTGCGAAACAAAAAAAAAATTAAAACCCCTTCCCAAACCAAAAATTTTTAAAAAAAATATGCCCTCCCCCAAACATAATTTATAAAACAAATGGGAAACATTCATGCTAAATCCATTAGACTAAATACCATTCTAGATCATGACACATCTGCATTTTTGTCATGTTGCACTACAAGACGCCTAAACCATAAACCTTTTCACTTTGAACGTTAGGACTGTAAAACTGTATTAGCTTAAAAAAATATATTAAACAGCCTACAGTAATTTTGTTGTAGTGAAAAATACAATTGACTCCACATTACTAAATCAGTAACATGCTGCTGGTAAATATGAAGTACCATCAAAATATCACAGGGATTTGGATAGTACATTAGTGAGTACCTGCCCAATTCAGACACCTCTCTCCAGAGAAATGCCATTGGGGCAAAGCAAGGGCCACCCATTGAATTAAACATGTAATTGCATTGATGGGTAAATAGTCACGCAATTGCAGGGCCATGCTAAGTAGCTGACAGCTGAGGATGAATGCTAATTAATAACTTGCCATGCGTTCAATTGTCTGATTGATGATAGCTGATAAATGCAAGCCAACTGTAGCGTGAGAGAAGTGCTGGTCAGCACCTGACATGTTTGAAATTAAAAATGCAAATTGCTAGAAGCTGCTCTGAGCTTCATGGATGGTGGCAGTTACTAACAAGGCTGAGCACTTGCAGTGAGTACATACAAACAGAACAGTCCTAGTTTGTCTCCTACAGAACAAGCAGTCCTGCTCGATCACCTGAGGATGTAAAACTAGATGGACAGACTTAAGAGGTGTTGGTGAGGAGGCGCTGCAATGACTCATGCATCAAGGGTTATATAAGTGAGGAAATGCATCAAATAGCTTTATCATGCCTAACAACTGACGGAGGAGAAGCATAGTCACCAAAACAGCAGATCATTAGTGAGAAAAACTGCAACTTTTGAAAGTGGAAGCATCGGATGACCTTCATAGCCCTGAAGAGAGGCTGGCTGTACAGATTGAGAAAGCTAATGACAGCGTAACTTATGTCACTGAAAACTTCCATAAGAGTCCTGGGAGATGGATTAAAGCTTGAGCTAGAAATTGAGTCAGCTACAGTAGACCTTAGCATGACTGATTGAAGCACTAGTTAGCCGCTGCATCCCTGATGATTGAGAAGAGAAAAGAATACACAGTTCCAGTAATAGCAAAGACTGGGAGGAAGCACTCACTGACAGAGAGGACCCAGCACCTTCAATGAGACAGAAGCATTTGTCCATTAGTGTCTGGATGCAGAAAAGTCATAGATAGATAGATAGATAGATAGATAGATAGATAGATAGATAGATAGATAGATAGATAGATAGCATGCTATCTGATTCATTGCTTAACAGGCTACTAGACTTATAGCAGTTGCCCTTGAAACTCTTCACAGCCCCAAAAATGGGTATGGATAGACAAGGCATCTGACATAGTCATTTCAAGTGAAATAATTTGCTCTTTGGCAGCAGTATTTGAGGAAATCTGCTTTTAATGACAAGCTAATGTAATCTTTTTCACCATTAACTCTCACTAGTGTTAATAAACTATAGGCTACATGTGGCGGGTCAGCTGTTTATATCTTCTTACATGTGGCAGTTAGTCAGGTATTGAAGGTGCCCTGTGAAGTTTTCACTATGAGGTTTTTGCAATGTTTTCTTGAAAAGTTAGTTGAAAACACACATATCAAATGCATTTCCTACCTCATAAAATTGTTTTGTGAATGTTTGGAAAGCTAGCTCTCCTCAGTTTTTTGCTCCTCTATAATTGTCATATTGTTAGTTTTTATTGTGCATTACCTTCCCCAGCTGTCAATATGCTTTGCTGGCCCATGCAGTATTAGAAATTTCGCCTCCATGATCCTGATGCGCTGGTACCAAAAAATACAAAATACCAACAATACTGGGATTTAGGCTGCGTTCACACTGCAGGTACAGGCGTCCCAAATCAGATCTTTTGCTATGTATTTATGCATATATGGCTCAGATTTTTTCATGAAAGTATGTTCAGCACAAATTACATGGGATATTTTCAATTCTGATTCAGGCCACTTTCATATGTGGTACCAATCTGAAACAGGTCAGATTTTTTTACAATGTGTCCTCAGTGTAAACAATCATGTCCGAATGCATGTGATTTTTATGTCACTCTAGATCTACGTTTTTTATGAGGGTTACTTCGGCACCGTGACCTGTTCACAGCAGAATCTGATCTTTAAGTAATAATAATAATAATAATAATAATAATAATAATAATAATACATTTTATTTATTAGCGCTTTTCTAAATACTCAAAGACACTTTACATAAAAACATAAAAGCAGCAAAACAACATCAAATAGTAAAACACTAAAAACACATCAGACTAAGCTAAACGTATAAAAAATAATGTTAACAGCCAAGGAAGCTAAAACAGAACTGAGTGCCAAGGCTTGCAGTGTGAACGCAGCCTTTCTCATCAAAACATTGCTCATCAGCGCCACTAGTGGTCAAAATCTCCACAGGGTACCTTTAATGGTGTTGTTGCTTGACCTCAGCTCACACTTATTATAACAACATTTATGCTTTGGAGCAAGGGCTCAGACTTCACAAACTAGTGCTAACAACAGTTAATAATGAGCAAACTAAAACAGAAAGAAATCTTCCTTTAATTTCAAACCATCTTGAAAAGTAAGAGCAGACAAGCTATACTGCCATTCACATTAACAAACATGTCTTTGATTTTACGAGACTGTGTTACTTTTATTCAAGGCAGCGGCAATTAACACTTCATTTTAACACTCTACATCTAAACTTATTTGTTGGCCATGAACAGAGGTCTTTTGATCAAACTACTTTATCCCATAAGACTTATTCATTAAAATTGACAAATTGACAAATATTTATTCATTAAAATTGACAAATATTTCTGAAATTCCAAAATTGTACTTAAAAAATTAACTAAAGATTTTACTCTGATCCCCACCCAAATGTCTTAATCTTTAACTAAAAAAGTAATCCTGTTTGAAAGGGGTCATATATTATTGAGAAACAAAAGAAATGCAAACTGCATGGGGAAGAAAGTCTTTGCCAAGTATTCAGTGTCCCCCCAGGACTCTCTACTTCTCTCAAAATGGGAAACACGGAACAATTTACACCATTGCGGGGCACTGTAGCTCACCACTGAAACCCAGTTTGCCAAAGTTCTTTTAAAAGCTCTTTTTAAAGGCAGGACAACTCACCCACCCACCCTTTGATAGAGGCTACATTGGGCCTTTAAACTAAGAACTAGTAACAGTAAAACACGACCGGATAGTTAAACGAGCAAATAAAATATGAAAAGAAGCTGAAATTTAATCGCAGGTTTTATACTGTTTATATGCTGTGGCAGTTTTAACAGCGAACATTATGATTATTTTTTTTTCTAAGGAGGAGGCTATAGCTTTTGTTTAAGTTCACTGGGCCATAAAACATCTTAAACATACACCTGTTTTTATGTCCTTTTTTCATCAAATTTAGTCTCTGGTTCATGACTGGATTCATGTTGGTGAGGCCATGAAAAAAAATATTTCCTCCAGATATTGCATCCTCGTCAAGGACACTGAATGGGTGCAGCATAGGATTTGTAAATGTTTAAACACATTACCTTCAGATATATATGTCAGCCCTTATTGAGTGTATGTACATTGATATTCATATGCTGATATTGTTCATTTTTCAGTTGAAGTAACTGAGGCTTGTACACACCTTATCCATCAGTGTTTATTTTCTGCAATGTGCCTAATTTGTGTTTCTGTGTTGAGATTTTTCATATTGTGTTTCTTTTATGTGTCATTTGATGTCTGGCTTGTCCTGAATCAGACTTGAATTTGGATTTATTGGCCATGTACTTGTAAGAGCGCTCATTCTGAAAACACATCCAAATGCCAGATGTAAGATAAAAGTCTGCCCCAGAGTTTTGAATGACTCTGATCCAAAGTCACTTTCCTTTAAAAAACTGTGTCCGCCATTCAAAGAGGGGAACTCCGAACCTATCCAGGTAGCATTTCTTCAGTCGTTTCTGTTTAAAACCCAACACAAGTATGTTTTAATGAGCCAGTCTAGCAGGGTAAGTATGAATCCACACAGTTTGGGACTGAAGACACTTAAGAAACCCTGTTCTAGGGGGACGCTTCACTTTTGTTCCAGTGTAAATCTGCCCTGACCATGGTCAACAGTCGGCCTGTGCTGTAGTGTACGGGAACAGGCGGGGAGGGGAGGAACGAGCACTGCGAATGAATGTAACGCAACGTGCCATTTTCTAACCTCAAATCGCAGCAGAGACGACGACAACCAAACCCTCAGATTCATCCTGAGAGGTGTTTTTTTTGCTAGCAGTCTGAAAACTAAAAGGTGGATTTGTTCTTTGAATGCCATGTGAAACAGGGGGGCACTATGTGAGCTGGTCTGGCATTTGTAATGTAGATTATTTGTCACTTGTCTTTCTTTCTGGTTAAATAGTAATTACTCTTCTGGAGCACAATAAATGATTTTAATATGCTGATATGTTTTTTTTCTCTTGTGTCTTCATTTACTATTTTCTGTGGCTGTTGACTTATTCAGTCGCTGAAGGATATATCAACTCTCACTCACAAGTAATAACTCTGGCAGTTTATTTGTGGGTAGATTAAATTTGTGTTCTACGAGTGAAAGCAGAACCAGTTTTGTCATCAGCAGCACGCACATTAAAACAAAAAGCTGATGCATGTGTAAACTAGGGCTTAAAAAATCCTCAGTGTCATATTCTCCACAAGCAACAGGGTCTCATTGCAATGGACGAACCTGGCCGATGGGAAATATTTTAAACAGTTTACTCTTTTCTTTTTTTCCTTAGGTTTGTGGTGTATGGCAGTGATTGTCAGACTATTTTTAAATAATGTACCCCCTGACCAGAGCAACACTTCTGTA